GGAAGGTTGAGAACCACAGCCCTAAACCAAAAAGACAAGAAAAGTTTCAACTCTAGTACTCACTCCCAGTTCTATAATTAGCTATACACAGAGCCAAGATTAATAGTAAAAATCATGTAAGAAGCAGAATCTATTATTAAGGAGTTCAAGGACAAAAATGTTTTGAAATGGATTTTGGTACCAAGTACAATACTTGGTTTGATTGAACTATGGAATGGTATAGTATCTGGATTAGCTCCCAATAAAATGGTTTGGGAAAAATCTATTAAGCATAACCTTTATCCCTTATACCTTTTTGTATGCCATTTCAAAAAGCTTCAAAGACGCCTGCTGAAGAGAGGATGCTGCCTGCCTTATGTTTTCTCCTGTTTCACTGTCTTTTCGAGCCAGGAGCTCCCTCATTTTTGAAATCTCTTCTTTTAATTTGTTGCACTTGGAAAACAAAAAAAAATTTTTTTTTCAAAGCCTGCAATTCCATTACATATAAGAAACAACAACAACAAAAAAAAACTTCTAATGTGACTTCAGTAGAGAGCAATGAACTTCATCTGACATTGGTGACAATGCCTCCCAATTTCTTGCGACCTTAAAAACAGAACTCACCTCATCAGCGGGCAACTGGTCCTTGAATTCTTCCATCTTAGTTTCTGTGTCATGAATGATTCCTTCTGCCATGTTAACTGCTTCAACTCGTTCCTGAGGAATATTAGGAATTTGGTATGCATGAGATTTCCCAAATTAAAGTGTGTTAAATGCACACACCAGAAAAGACATTGTTACCTGATATATATAACCCATTACTGTTCTAATCATAGCAACCCTATAGGACAGAGTAGAATGGCTCAGCAGGGTTCCAAGGGCTGTAAACCTTTATGAAAGCAGAGCGCCTCAACTTTTCTCCAGAGAAAAGCTGGCAATTTTGAACTGACGCCCTCATGTACAAAGTGTAACTGTTTATTACAGTTACAGAGTCAAAGTAAGAAAGCCGAAAGAATTCTGTCAAACTATAATTTTGACAGGGGCAGAAATGAGAGGCATTCCAGCATAAGTTATAATCAGTTACTGGAGAGATTAAAGTCAGAGGTGAAGTTCAAATGACACACGTTCAAACTCAAGTTTTACAAAGATTAATGCAACAGCTGAAAAATACCTTCTTTCGCCGGTCTTCTTCTGCATACTTCTCTGCATTTTTAACCATATTTTCAATATCATCTTTGCTCAACCCACCAGAAGATTGGATCACAACTATAACAAAAAAAAAAACCCCACCATTTTTAAAATTACAAATGAACATGAAAGCAACTAAGGGCCTAAAAGTATAACAACTAACTTGTGTGACTACGGAAAGGGCTCCCTTGTTTTGAGGGAACAAACACATTAAAGTGCTTTTTTAAAAGGGGGCACTTTGCCCTGAGACTCAGGGAAAAAGATATGTACAACATAGAGACTTTAGTTCCCAACAAAGGAACACCAAGGCTCCTCACCTCACCCTTACTGTCAAACAGGAGGACTTACTCTGTTGCTCACGTCCTGTGCCCTTATCTTTGGCAGAAACATGTACAATCCCGTTGGCATCAATATCAAATGTGACTTCAATCTGAGGGACTCCACGAGGAGCTGGTGGAATTCCAATCTAAAATCCAAAAATATTCAAAATGAGGTCCACTCAGAGGGGTGCAGCACGACACATTTCCTGGAGTTACAGGAGCTCTCCAGTAATTTAAACGTACAAAACCCCCCAATTTTTTTTTTAAACATTTTATTAGGGGCTCATACAACTGTTATCCCAATCCATACACACATCAATTGTGTAAAGCCAAAACCCCAAATTATAAAGTGATAGCAGTAGTTTCATTACAGCTTGAGAAAAAAGGGTTCATACAAATGAAGACAGGCTAGCAAATAACCATATTGGCTGGCACGTACCAGTTTAAGAGCAAATTAACTATTCATGTATGTAAGAACTAATAGGCAATGCTGATTAGAAACCCAGAAAGATGTCTTTTAAATTATTAATGGAGAGAAATCAGGAATTCCTCTCAACTAGCAGTTTCTGAACCAACTTGAAAACAAACCTTTTACTGGGGGCTTTTACATCTTATCACACCCATACATTCATCCGTTGTGTCAAGTACATTTGTACATATGCTGCCATCATTTTCAAAGCATTTTCTTTCTACTTGAGCCCTTGATATCAGTGCCTCATTTTCCCCCCTCCACCATCATGAATCCTTGATAATTTATAAACTATTATTACGTACTGAAGATAAAACACTTGTGTACATCGAGTGGATTCACCAAGAGTGATAAGACAGACCACATCTTCAGCAATAACATCAGACAAAGGCCTTATTACTAAAATCTACAATACCTTTCAAGTTCACAATAAGAAAAAAAACTAACTGCCCACTAAGGAGGTGAGCAAAGGACCTGAACATAAGTTTCACAAGGGCAGAAATTCGAATGGCCAATAAACATGAGAAAATGTTCCTGTTCATTAGCCTAAGAGAAATGCAAATTAAAACTGAGATACTACCAAACACCCTCAAAGTGAACCAACTTCTTAAGTTCCTAGACAGCATGAAACAAGCAAGGTTTTCCAGTAAAGTCATTGGCAAATTACTCTATATACTTTCAAGAGACTAAGAAACAACATTCAGAATTCACAATACCTACCAAAGTGAACTGTCCAAGAAGTTTGTTATCCCCAGCCATCTCTCTCTCACCCTGGCACACTTTAATCTCCACCTGAGTTTGTCCATCAGCAGCTGTAGAAAATACCTGGGGAGGAACAAAACTTCCTGAGTTGGCACTGTGATTAAACAATCCTCTTTCTGCAGACAAAATGCAAGGCCAAAATAGAAATTCACATCCCAACCCCAACATTGGAAGGGTCCTAATGTACATTATGCTCAAAACAAAGGCTTTGAAGTCTTTACAGCATCGGCTCTCAACCTGGGGGTTGAATGACCACAGGAGTGGATTGATTCTTAACAGCAAAATTACAGTTATGAAGTAGCAATGAAAATAATTTTATGGTTGGGGAGTGACAACACGAGCAACTGTATAATTAGAATAAGAAAACATTATATTAGCTATTGTTCAGCCAAGCAAATGGAATTTACAAAGATTTAGCATTAGCAAGAGGCCTCAAAAGGAGCTAAAAACAAGATGCTTAACCATGATTATCTGAGGAAATAAGCCAGAGACAGGAAGATATATCTTGTGCTCAGTTAACAGAAAGTCACCACTATATATTTTTTCAGAATGATGTGTTGACATACATCATTGCACAAAAACAGTAGTAGAGGGGGTAAAGACTGGAAAGATCTAAAATTAACTTTTTAAATGAATACACCCCCAAACCGCCTCTAAATTGCCCTGATTGATCCCATTGGACCCTATCATTCAGGAACACTAACAAAAATGAAGTTTTCTGGCAAAGTTCATGAATATGACCGTGACCACATCCATCATGGAAACCAGTATTTATCAATGGTAAGGCAGGGAAGAGTGATTCTTACCTGGCTCTTTTTGGTTGGAATAGTGGTGTTCCTGTTGATAAGTTTGGTAAAGACACCGCCAAGAGTTTCAATACCCAGAGACAGGGGAGTGACATCCAGGAGTAGCACATCTGTGACATCACCAGCCAACACACCTCCCTGAATGGCAGCTCCAATGGCCACCGCCTCATCAGGATTGACAGCTTTACTTGGAGCTCGGCCAAAAAGATCCTGCACGGTCTGTTGAACCTGAGCACCAAGGAGAAAGAATCTGCCATGTCACACTGCTTTTTGCAAAGGGGAGAGAACATTCCTGTTACAATTTCCCCAGAAAATCACAGGGCAGGTGTTCTCGTTAATAACCTGATATATGCTATCATACTATAAAAGCTTCCAAAAGATACTAGAACAAAGAGGTGCTATTTGAATCTTTGTTCATATTTTCGTAGCACCTGTATTCCAAATTTAAGGAACTAGTCAGGACATCAACTCTAGGCTAAGACAATTAAGATTCAAGGAAATGCATCTTCAACAGATTCTGTGCTCAGTCATTTATTTTCTACACATCTGTCTTTTCAGAATGATGTGTTGATGTATCTGCATCACTGCACAAATCTTGAAGAGATGCAATTAGAAACCCTGGACAGTATATTGCAGACACATATCCAAAAGATACTCTAAGATAAGTATCAAGGTTTTAAGATATCTCTGATCTCCAACATTCTTTTCCTCTTAAACATTTTACAAGACTGATTAGGTTTAGGATTTGTGAGATGCAAAAGGGTTTTTTCCCCAGGTTGTCCCCACCATAATGTATGCCAAACCTAGGCAACAGCTTGCCAGCACATGGGAGGTCAGATGCTTACAGGTTATTGTCTGTCCCACCATAGGTGGGGCCCACTCCCTGCTGATAGGATAGTGGGATTGTTTCCCTGAAGGAGAGCCCAGAGACTAGGTCAAGCCAACTCAAGGAAGGTCAAGGTTAGGCTGCCATCTTGAATCTAGGATTGGCCCAGCTTGTCACTTATGTAGTCCCTCCCCTTTCTATTGAGTGTACACCCCTAGCTCACCCCCTTCTGTCACGTGTATGCCTATTGGACAGCTTTTTCCTGTTCGTATGTGGTTACCGGTAATCAGGGGAGCTTGCACGTCCTCTAAGTATATATGAGCTGTGATTGGAAATATACTCTCTAAATATACTCTCTCTCTGCATAGACCTGGCTGCTGCGATCACGGCTGTCCCGGAAGTGAGCCAGCCCTTTTTTCTGCTATGCCATGAATTCAATGGATTTATACCTTGGGCATCCTACTCATGCCACCAACAAGAATCACTTCGCCTATGTCGCTCTTGCTGACTTCTGCATCTTGCATGGCTTTTTGGCATGGTGCGATAGTTCTCCTGATTAGGTCGGCGACAATCCCCTCAAATTGAGCCCGAGTCAGCTTCATGTTCAGATGCTTGGGTCCAGAAGCATCCATTGTCAAATATGGCAAGTTGATGTCAGTCTGCAGAGGAAGCATTAAATTGTACCACAGTTAAGTTCCCTTATTTCAATTACATATAAAACCATGCATTAAAAACAAGACAGCTTGGATAGTCACAGACCCATTTTAAATGGAACAGCCACCAAGAAGCTGCTTAAAGCATAAGTTCTTATTAAAAGATTAAGAAAAATTAAAATTCCCCGAGTATGCTCAAAACAATCGTCACAGGAGTGAATCCTCATAATCTTTTGAGCTGACCCCCAACTTCACACTGAAATAAAACTAGCAACAAGGAAAGACTGAGGGGCCCATCATCTTTCTTCAGGGCATTTAAATGATAATGGTTTTTTCCCCTCTTCCTTATTTTCCCCCTTATGTTTTCTCTTTTTCAAATCATTTTATTGGGGGTGGTGGTGATATTGGTTATTGATAATATCCTTCTTTTGCAAAATGTTGTTTAAATGAGCGCTACCCAGTATTTTTGCTTCCAACTCAGTAGCCATTAGCAACAAATGGCTACGGAACCCCCAGAGTACTGTGGCTTTCTTGATGTGGTTCTTCTAGTTTTGTAGTCATTGTAACGTCTATCAAGTAACTGAGCTATTGAAGTGTGAGCATTTGTGGCCCATAACAAAGGTCTGGATAATTTTCTAATAATGTAAAATTCCCTTTGAACTTCCTCAATCCACAGCAGTAGGTATAATGTAATGACTGGCAGCGTTGAAGGGGCAGTGAATGAGACAGAATAGGCTAGCTGTGGATTATCTCCAGGCACTAAATCTGTCAACCAAGGAGTCAGTGTTGAACACCTTTGGGCCCAGACTTACTGGTGGAGTGGGTAATAGACAGGGCTATACTTGCCCAAGAATATAAAAAGTACCATGGACTGTCTGTAGAACAAACAAATCTGTCTTGGAATAAGTATGGCCAGAATGCTCTCTAGAGACAAACAATTTAGATGGTGAGATTTTTGTCACACATACTTTGGATATGTCTGCAGACACCAGTCCCTGAAGACAGACATCACACTTGGTAGAGGGGAAGCAGAGTAGAGGCAGGCCCTCAAGGAGATGGACTGACACAGTAGCAGCAGCAATGGGCTCAAACAAGAACTGTGAGCATGGCACAGGCCTGGACACTGTTTCATTCTGTTGTAGTCATTATGAGTTGGAACCGACTTGATGGCACCTCACACTAACACACACCACCAGCACCACACTTGCCCAAATATTGAAGAAGCCAAGACCCGGAAAAGTATGCCTGTGGGCAAGGCTGAGAAAAGGCCATGTCTAACAGAGGAACTATATTTTGTCCCTTATCATAAATTATAACCAGTTTACTTCCCCATAACCACAAGTATCGAGTTCTATGTGGCCACTGTAAAGGATTATTGAGCCATTTTTTTGCAACCACTGACTTAAGGTCTGTACAACTGAGAATGGTGAACATAATTCTCATGAACTTAAACTACCACTTGACTATCACAAACTGGGAATCGGGACTATAGAAAACCAACTCTAAACCACCAAAGACCTGTCCTGATTACAACCACCTTCCTTCTCCTTTAAAATCCAACCACTTTTCTTTTACTACTAGCCCCCACCCTCACCCCCACCCCCGGAGTCACCTGATATGCTACAATAACCTCCCAATGTCAACCTACCCTCAAAGGCTCTCTGCCATAGGATCACCCATCAAGCAGTTCTGAACGCCACCTTACAGAACTTTTCACAAATCAAAAGATTTCCATGTTTCTCTACCAACTTAAAATTTATCGGTGGGTTTGTACTTATCTCAGCAAACACCAAATCTAAAAGAAGCCCAAACCCCCATCTTCCATGCTTGCCTACCCCCTTCCTACACTTTGGCCACATTGACTGGCCCTCTTTTCAGGTGTTTTCCTTGTCAATCCAGAACCATAACATTTTGTCCCCTTTTATCTATATTTTTGGTCATTTCCTTATCCACAAATTACTCTAATATGAGGCAACTCGAAAAGTTCACTGAGGAAAGAACATTTTCACAGGAAAATTCATTTTATCTAATTTTTGAAGCCTCTTGTATATCAAATACCTAGCCAAGTCCCTGCTATAAGCATTTCTTTTGTAACATTTGTTAAATTACGAATAACTGCTACTTGTACAAAGCATGTTCTACAGATTAGTTTGGTAATCCTCACATCTGTTAAAAAACCACATTCACTTTGATAGGTAAATAGGCAAATATTAAATCACTCAAGGTCATAAAATACATGAGATATGAATCTGAATTCTAGCAATCTGTTGAGATCCCTGGTTGCGCTGCTGGGTAAGTGCTGAGACTGCGACCCATAGGTCAAAGGCTCAAACCCATCAACTACTCTGGAAGAGGCAGCTGCTACCTGCTCCCATAAAGATTTACCACCTCAGAAACCCTACTTAGGGATGCAGGGAGTCAGAATTGTCTAGATGGCAATATGTCTGGCTGCAGAGCATGCAGTTGGGCTTCCCCCTACTTGCTAATAACTAGGAAGCCAATTTTCAGCTCTTGACAGTTATGTGGTCTAGATATTTCATGCAAGTGGGCCCACAAAATACATCTCCTTTAGTGTCTCATTTAGCTTGGCATGTTTTCAAGATTCATCTACATCATTAGCATATCAGAACGTCATTTCTCTTTAAGGCTGAATAATATCCTACCGAGTGTATATACATTTCGTTTATCCATATTCTTTTATGTATGGCCCTGGGGTTTTCCTTCCTTTTCCTATTGTGACAATTTCTACAAAGAAAATTAGGGGGTATGCACCTGAGGTGCAGTTTGCACTCTGAATCTTTTTTTCATGGCTCATTGTAGATTTTATATTTAATATTTCATTGTACATTAATTGGGGGTTACATTTTGTATCATTAACATTGTATCCATCAGTTTTAACCAATAATCAAAACAAAACATTCAATAGTTCACTCTTAACTTGCTCCTTGATTTCTTTTCCCCACCCTCTTGTGGATTACTCTCCCTTTACTCAAGTGAACACCCATTCAGTCTAGCCAGGTGCTTATCTTCCTTCTCTCCCTTGCATTCTGAATCTTGGTAGTACACTGCTATTGGTTTGACATGTACTTACATAATTTTACTACTAGTGTCTATCTCTACAAACCACGTTCTAAGCTTCATATAGGAATTTTTCCTACAGCTTATTCTGTAATATGCAGACGACACAACCTTGCTGTGTCCTGGGGAGGGTGAGGGGATTGGAGGAGCAAACAATGAATGTGGGAGGGAAGAGAGAGCAAGAGAACTGACTATGATGTATATACAACTCTACTGTACCAAGAAAACAACTACATTTTAAAAAATCAAATTTGACCATGGGTGAAGGAGGAAGAATATTTGCTTAGGGAGCACTGAGTTTATGTTAATGGTAGTAGAATAATTTAGAAAGGATAGCAAAAGGCAGTGTAGTATTATACACGTATAAGTTCTGGAGAATATTTCATTGAGTAAATTTATGCCACAATTAAAAAATTACACTAATAATGAGTACAAGGACAGAGTAAATGTTTTATAATGATTGTATATGCTTGCATAACTCTTGATATTATTGAATTTGTGACATGGATGAAGTGCCAATAAAACGGTTTAAAAACAACATAAAATCCCTGTAACTGGACCAACAAGTAACATCATGAAAAACAGAGAATTTAAAGTTGTTCAAAAATTTCATCTTGCTTGTATCTACCATCAATGCTAATGGAAGTAGCAGCCAAGAGATCAAGCAATACATTGCATTAAGTAAATCTATTGTACAAGATTTCTTGTGGAAAGCATGGATGTTATTTTGAGGACTGAGGTGCTCCCGACCCAAGTCATGGTATATATTTTTTTAAATTAAAAGATCACTTTATTAGATAGGCAGAATAAACAATCGTAAACAAACGACCATTTTGCTCAGAAGCAACAAAGCCCACACAGAAGAAGCACATCAGCCTGCATGATCACGAGGTGCCAAAGGGATCAGTTATCAGGCATCGAAGAACAAAAAATCCTATCATTGTGTGCTCATCTCCCCGATACAATTGTTGAAGACAAAGCAAGTTCATAAGCAATTGTGGCGAAGAAAGCTGATGGTGCCCAGCTGTCAAAA